AAGTCCCTTATCTGAGATGTCATTACCAAATACTTTTTCCCAGTCTGTGGCTTTCCTTTTTACCCTGTTGGAGAAGTTTTTGGATGTGCATAAGGATTTGATTCTTAGAAGGTCCCATTCATCTATTTTATCTTCTCCTGGTTGTAGGTTTGCTGGTGTTCTTGATCACCTTACAGGCCTATCTGTTGTTGTCTATTGTTTAGTTGAAAATTGAGTCATGGGAGCAATTTCAGTTCCAGGTTTGAAAGGTGTTTAAAGATCACAGCCTAGAGGATTCCACTGGTCTCTATGAAAGCTAGGAAACCTAGTCTTTTTTAATAATTTTGCATTTTGTTCCACTTCTTTCACTCTATCCATGTCCATTCTACCCAGGACCTTCTTCTGTCTTCCTTTTTTTGAGTAATATGCATCTAAGTAGAATCTAGTTCTAGTCTCAAGGTCATGGAGACTGAAATTTACAGGGTCTATTCTTTGAACTTAAAAAGTTTTGATGACCTTTATTCTTCTTTTAGCTGGACACAGAGAGACCAATAGCTTCACCTCAGATGGCTTTTTAGTCCCCAGTTGCTAGTCACCAAAATAGAAAGTTGTTGTCGTCCTTGTTATGTGCCTTCAAGTCAAGTGCAACTCATAGCGACTCTATCAACAACAGATCTGAACTCTGTCCTATCCTGTGCCATCCTCACAATCTCTGACACACGTTAGCACATTGCTGGAGTCACGGTGTCAATTCATCCGAGTAAGCGTCTTCCTCTCTTTCACTGACCTCTCCTAGCATGATGTCCTTTTCCAAAGGATACGCTCTTCTAGCAACATGACCCAAGCATGTGAGATATATGGTCCTGATGATCGCAGGACTGGCAACTTAATCCCCCAGGGTGTTTGGTTGGGATTTGGAAGTTTATATAACTTTGCCCCCTGTTCTCTTTACTATGTACATGGTAGTATTTTCAATGTCTACTAATGTAGTTTTGAGAGCCAAACTTATGTATGATCATGAGTATAGTTCACTTGTCCATATCTGGGTTCCCCCCCATCATCATAGTTCATTTTAATAGTTTACTGGAAAACCACCATACCTCTGTGCTGTATGACAGGGAAGATGTATGGATCACTGGCAAATGGAACAGAAGTCTTTCTCACCATACCCCTGTTCCTTTATAAAAAATAATTTTAAATTATGATTTTTTCCCTTTTTTAAAAAATTTATTTATTTCTTTTTCATTTCAATGAACATCTACAGAGATTTTG